CCCAGTGTGCAGACCACCTCAAAAACCAAATATGTCATAATGAATAATTATTACATGAAGATGATACCAGGTGCTAAAGTAGCAACAGGGCATGCCCTAAAGCTAACACTTTTGAACTCAACTAGGAGTAAATTGGTAATGGTGTTAAATCAGGAGGTGATGCAAAAACACATGACTATTTCATCCACAACTTTATAAGAGTATAAAGAAGCCTCTCTGAGAGTGTTAATACCTTGAATTGTGTAATGACTTTTACCAAAATATTATTGCTCTATATGTGAATTTATCTGGGTAAAATGGTTTTTTTTATGGGTTGGCATAACAGATCCAGGAAAAGTTTGAACGATTTTGTTTCAGCCACTTTAAAAAAACCAAAAACATTTGTATGACTAGCAGAGGTTATTATGACTAGTATGACATTGAGCGTTTGCTATACATGCAGTAAATTATCAAACTACATGTACCAAATATTCTCAAAGTGAGACGAGTGGAATCTACACCCAGTGAACAAAGTACAGACAGTTCTTTTCCATTCTCAGGTTAAATAAATCTAAAATTTGTTAAACTTTAAATAGTAATTCAATGTGATGGGAACAACACCACCCCCTCCCCCCCAATGTTTAGTCAGGTCGTTTGGGTACAGGCGGCGGGACACTCGACCGGCTGGGCACAGGGGGGGCGGCGGCGGCTACCGCATTTCCTCTGGGTGGAGGTAGGGGAGCTTTATTGGGAATGGGGGTGAGATGAGCCAGGGGAGGAAGATCAGATGCCACGCCACTTGGTAGCGGGGGTGGACTCATTACAGGTGGCTCAAACACGTGACCTTGACCTACAGTTTGATCAAAGTTTGAAGTGATGGGTTCAGAACTGCTGAACACAGTTGAACCTTGGAATGGACTAAATCTGTTATTTGTGACAGATGTCGTATCAAAAGGATCTGCAGACTCGAGGTTTGCCGAAAAATTTGCCTGCCAAGGGTCGCTGAATGATAGATTGCTAGCTGGGCCAGCGGAGAGGCTTGGCTCACCCACATTAAATGGACTTGTATCAAATGGGTCTCTGGAATGAGAACCTAAAGAACTAAAATTATGGGATGGTATCCTAGCATAGGTGGTGTCAAATGGATCCAATTGGTCATGGTCATTTTCAAGCAAGCTGTTCTCCCTGTCTAGAATGTGAGAGTTTAGAGAAGTTGTGGAGAAGGGATCTTGTTGTGCCTCTAAATGTTTGGCGGTGTGACTAGGGGAGACCTTATCAGATGGCCTGGATGGGCGGGCAGGAGGAACAGGAAGGGGGTTGGACGGGAGGTCGTGTCTTGGTGCTGGGGGTGGAGGAGCGGGGCGAGAGGATACAGGTGGAGGCATAACTAGAACACTGCCCGGTCTTTTGGCGGGAGATGATGGTTTTTCAGGCTGTTGATTGGGGGCACCGGCGCTGCTCTGCACATCTCTTCTGGGCGCAGGCCGGGGTCTAGCTGCAGGCACATCGCAGACAGTGCTGGTCTCACTTGGTGAGGGTTGTGTCCCCAGGCTGTCGTTGTCCAGACTGAGCCTCCTCGGTGCAGGCTGAGGTGGACAGGGAGCTGAGGCGGCAGCAGATGAGGCATCTCCTACATCTTGAGATGTTTTACTCCTAGGAACAGATGGAGGGGCGGCAAGCTGAGTCCAACCTGAGGATGAATCAAGTCATGATTGAGTTCAGTGACTTCATAAATGTAACTAATAACCTAGGAAAGCTACGCCCTGTGCTGTGGTTACTTTCATGTCTTTATGATACAATGTAATGAGTGATGATGTCACATCTCGGGTTCTTCTTCTGTGCCCTTCTACTGTGGAGGCGTCAACAACTGCAGAGTTCGCAATCAGCCGGAAAGTGTGAGGGTCGCTGAACGTTCATGTTGTGGACTTTTAGGGTGTCCTCAACAAAGTCGACCTATGGTCTTCCTCTGGCCCTGAAACAGGAGTGCCTGCAACTGTTGGCTTGATTGATAGGCATTCAGACCAGGTGGCCAAACTGATAAATTAGCCTTTTGGCCTAACACAGGCTGCTAGGTATGGCACCAACCACTCGTTATTTTCTGGTTGAGAAATGTCAACTCTCCTCATTTTAGCAGCCAAAGCTCTAGCCTCATCAAAAATTCAAAGAGTAAAATGTTTAATTCACGCCAGATTTTAGTTCAAAACTATATAAATCAAATACTTTATGTTTATGTTCCTAGCAGAAAGTTAAATTTCCTCCTAGATGGTAACAATTCCTCAGCAGTAACACTTGAAGATTTGCTAGAGTAGATTTCTGATATGGTGAAAATGAGTGGTCCACTCAAAGAACCACATAGCCTAGGAACTGGATCACTTATGTTTTATCACTAACTGGCTTAAATGGACTTTTTTTTTTTTTTTCAAAATTCTAAAACTGTTGAACATGAAGTGGCCTATGGGCTGGCACACACAAGAAAGATTTTAACTGAAACACACATAATGTGCACACAGCTATTGAACATACAGTGACCAACAGACTTGCACAAGAAGGATTTCAGCTGAAACACACAATGTGTACACAGCTATTGAACATACAGTGACCAACAGACTTGCACAAGAAGGATTTCAGCTGAAACACACATAATGTGTACACAGCTATTGAACATAGTGACCAACAGGCTTGCACAAGAAAGATTTCAGCTTCAACACACATAATATGCACACAGCTATTGAACATACAGTGACCAACAGGCTTGCACAAGAAAGATTTCAGCTGAACCACACATGAACTGAGGCTAAGAGAAAAAAATAAATAAATCTTCAATAAAACAAGTGGAACGGACAGCATGAAAGATAAGAGAGAACTGTTTACCTGCACTGAGATTGGTCTCTGATTTGGATGGGGCTAATGGCGGGGGCAGAGCCACACTGTTGCCAGACGACTGGTCAGATCCACTGCTCAACAGTTTTTGTATTAAGTCCTCTGCCTCTTCAATGTTGGCAGCATGCCCTTGGTGAGTAACATGGGTCGGCCGGCTTATCTGCCCAATCTGACAAAACCAACAAAGCCATAAAACTCCTTTACCCCAGTCAAATAAAAAATAAAAAATTGCTGTGTTAGCAGTACGCCCATAAATTAAAGTGGTGTCAACCAAATGGTGGTAGTATTTTAAAAAAAATAAATATTTCTGGACTATCGATTATTGTACCAGAACATTTTATGAAAATGAAAACACATACCTTATAAAAAGCCTCGTTTAATAAAAAGTTTCTATAATTCCTAAGGATAATCAGATTCTTGAAAGTTTAAAAAAATGCATTCCACTTTTAACTAAAGCTTGATGAACTCAGTGCAAATGTAGGAGTGTATATAATTTTGCACTATGTGAACAAATGTAGGAGTGTATATAATTTTGCACTATGTGAGCTCACCTTAGATGGGGGTTTCTTGTATTTGGACTTATCTACTGGAGCTGGTCTTAGAGGTTGTCTGATCTTGGGTGGTGGATTGCTTGGTCTTTCTGGGCCACCTTGAAATATACCAAATGATAATGTGTTATTTTTTTTGTGATGAGTTCTCTAAATGTGATGATAATGTGCTGTCCATGTGAAATGATAGTATGTGGTCCATGTGTATTTATATTGTATGTCTTGGTGTGATGAAAATAATTTTTAAAGGTGTGATGATAATGTGCTGTCCGGGAGGGATGATGATGTGCTGTCCAGGTGTGATGATAATGTGCTGTCCAGGTGTGATGATAATGTGCTGTCCAGGAGTGTTGATAATGTGCTGTCCAGGTGTGATGATAATGTGCTGTCCAGGAGTGATGATGATGTGCTGTCCAGGTGTGATGATAATGTGCTGTCCAGGTGTGATGATAATGTGCTGTCCAGGAGTGATGATAATGTGCTGTCCAGGTGTGATGATAATGTGCTGTCCAGGTGTGATGATAATGTGCTGTCCAGATGTGATGATAATGTGCTGTCCAGGTGTGATGATAATGTGCTGTCCAGGAGTGATGATAATGTGCTGTCCAGGAGTGATGATAATGTGCTGTCCAGGAGTGATGATAATGTGCTGTCCAGATGTGATGATAATGTGCTGTCCAGGTTTGATGATAATGTGCTGTCCAGGAGTGATGATAATGTGCTGTCCAGGAGTGATGATAATGTGCTGTCCAGGTGTGATGATAATGTGCTGTCCAGATGTGATGATAATGTGCTGTCCAGGTTTGATGATAATGTGATGTCCATTGATTTTAATCATGAATACCTGGAACTGAAGCCTGAGAGGATCCACCGGGGCGCGGCGGTCCACCTGGTGGCCTTTGCGGTGGGGGAGGCTTAGCAGGTGGGGCATTAGGACGGGCAGGAGGCTGCTTCTGTTAACAGTTTTTGAGAGTGAATTTATGGAAAGGTTCACAACATCTGTACAAATGTGTACAAACACCCATTCAGCTTTATAATGATGTACACATTCAGCTTTTTAATAAAATATGCATTCAGCTTCTTAATCAAATACCTATTCAGCTTCTTAATGATGTATCCTTTGGCTTCTTAATGACATACCCATTCATCTTCTTAATCACATATTGATTCAGCTTCTTAATGACATACCCATTCATCTTCTTAATCAGATATGCATTCAGCTTCTTAATAACATACCCATTCAGCTTCTTAATGATGTACCGCTTCACTTCTTAATGATATACCCATTCATCTTCTTAATCACATAGCCATTGTGTATACATGTTCAACATTTGTATTGCTCTGTTCATCATAACAATTATGTCAAGTGGACAGACTGATAGATAATAATATATTTTTTAAACATGACTTCAGGATGTTTTAAACAAAAAATTTCATATCACACTTTTCACTTGAATAAAAATGAACTCACTTCCAGAGAAGGCGATGCTCGGAACAGTGTGGCGCTCTCAGGCACAATAACTTGACCGTTTTCCCTGCCTGCGCCTGCACTCGGAGCCGTAGGCTGTAATGAAAGGGGACCACTGGGTCTGGCGGGTCTGGGTGGATTTACTGGAGGGCCTCCGGGTATTTCCCCTGGTGATGGGACTGGGCTCTGGTTACCTACACAGGGAGAGCAACCGATGTTCAAATAACATGTTCCATCCACAGTGGCATAAGGAAATAAAAGAATGTAATGAGAGAAGACAGCTGGGAATGTGCATTGATTACATTGTACATATTTATTTTCATTACATCTTCAAGAAACAACAAGAACACAAGACACAGCATATCCTGGGATCGGGTGTTTAACATTTTGGTCATCCTGGTTTTTAGTTGACTCCTCAGATTTGAAAAGTAAAGATCGACTAAGTCCCAGTGGTTCTCAACCTTCCTAATGGTGCGACCCTTTAATATGGTTCCTCATGGTGTGGCGACCCCCGACTTTATTTTTTAATTGCTTCTTCGTAAAATATGGATTTTCCTATGGTCTTAGGCAACGCTTGTGTAAGAGTCGTTCGACCCTCAAAGGGGTCACGACCCAACGGGTTGAGAACCGCTGCCCTAACCTAATGCAGAAGTCCAACAACAGGCTGACTTTAACAGCATCCACACACTTTCCTACAAAATGGACAAGACAGGTGGACAAGGCATGTTGTGAGAATGCCAGGCGGAAGACTTCCTGTAAACTAATGTTTGGTGAACTCTCCAGAGGGAAATGCTCAGCTGGTGGGCAGAAAAAAAAATCGCTGTCTAAAATCTTCGCTCAAATCAATGGACATCTTCCTGAATTTGTGGGGAAAACTTGCTGTGGATCGTACAAGCTGGCGAGGTAGAATCCCTGTTGGAACACTATCTATAGAGAATGAACGCACAGCTCACGCCCAAATAAAGCGCACGGCAAGGAAAAGCAGAATCAACTCCACTCCAACTAGGACCCCAAAGCAAAGTCTATCCTATGGGGGGGGGAGAGCCTTTCAGGCACAAATAGGACTGGGAGGCCACATGCGTACACACCGATGAATATTGCCTCGGTCACCTTCGCATACCAAGGACAAACAACAACTACAATAAAGCTATACAAACAGAAATTTCTTGTAATCAATATGTTCACAATTTGTATCATTTATAACAAATCCAATTGTGGTTGGATTTTTTAAAAAGTTTTGAAATAATGCTGTGTGAACTATTTTTGCAATGTGTTTTTAAAAAAAACATTTCTGATTGAAAGCATGTTGATTTTACTGACTTAGTGGAGTACTGGCCCCTGAGGATGGCCCCGCCATGCCTTGAAGAACATTCTCAACCTCTGCATCCTCGGCATCCTCAGCATCATCTGTAAGGAGAAAAAAAACAACTCATCTCTTCAACATAGATTTATCTGCACAAACATTTGAGTTAACTTGACAAGCCTAAACCAAATTTTTCATGAATTTTATTGATAGCTTCCATCTCTGACCTGGTAATAGGTTTTATCAAAATATTGATCCATTTGAATGGATGAATTGTATTTTAACTTGTTCATTCAAAAATAATATCTTCCAAATTGTTGCTACCAGCAGCTTGCAATGATTTTTTTTTTATTTGACTTGTAATGGTTGTTAACAAACAAATGTTAAAATTCAATTATTGGGAAAAAAAAAAAAAAGTGCCACAGATGTATGTGTGCATCCAATTAGTGTTAAAACAAAAGAAGAAAGAGCTCCTCACCTCCTCCAATGTCAAATTCCATCGAGGGCACACTGAAGTCGTCCCCTAGAAGTGAGTTAGAGAACTGGTTGTACAGTGCACCAGTGTTGCTGGAACACAGATTCAGCTCTTTCTCTATTTCTCCTTTCCATTCCTGGGTCTTTAAACAGACTCTCACTTTGGTTCCCGCAAACTGTCAAATGAGATAAAAGTTTATGTTGAACTTGCCACCAGAATTCTGATGGCATGAAATTGATACAGATTTCTTAACTTTATTTCGATTTTAAATGGTTTATTTTTGTAACAAAAAAAAAACTTGTAATGTTGTCCTTGCTATATTTTGGCTGAATAGTATAATTCAAGGTGAAAAAACCCAATATAAGGCTACAGATATAAATCCGTAAATAGAACTAAGAATTATAACCAATTAACAAATTTAAGGGTTACAATCGTACCTCTTGTTTGTCAAACTGCAGGGCTTCCAGAGCATACTTGCCTTTCTGATAGAGGACCCACATGTCTGATCCTACAAATCTGTGTAAAAAGCACATTTATTTTTTTTCAAACTAATAGTCTCAAACTTCAAATCCATTAAAAATTACTTTTAATTTAAATATTATGGTACCCAATAAAATCTCAAAAACAATTTACTCAGGCACATCAAGTGACACTTTTATGACAATATATATAATCAGTGGTTACCTTACTACAAATAAAGAGTTTTTCCTTAAAGTTTTTTCATCATCATCTAGACCATTATGCGACATAATTTGTAACAGATCCTATTTTCAGCTTAATCCAAAAATATAACTTGAATTTCAATGAATTACAAATTTCATTGCAAAAGTATTGAGTACTCACCAAATCTTTTTTATTTTTCAGTTGAAGAATCATTGATGCTTCACAAGAAGTTCTATATCAGAGTGCAATCCTAAACTATTTCACTTACCATACAATGACAATTTGTGCAATCCTAAATTATTTCACTTACCATACAATGACAATCTGTGCAATCCTAAACTATTTCACTTACCATACAATGACAATTTGTGCAATCCTAAACTATTTCACTTACCATACAATGACAATTTGTGCAATCCTAAACTATTTCACTTACCATACAATGACAATTTGTGCAATCCTAAATTATTTCACTTACCATACAATGACAATCTGTGCAATCCTAAACTATTTCACTTACCATACAATGACAATTTGTGCAATCCTAAATTATTTCACTTACCGTACAATGACAATCTGTGCAATCCTAAACTATTTCACTTACCATACAATGACAATTTGTGCAATCCTAAATTATTTCACTTACCGTACAATGACAATTTGTGCAATCCTAAACTATTTCACTTACCATACAATGACAATTTGTGCAATCCTAAATTATTTCACTTACCGTACAATGACAATCTCACCAACTTCATTAAATTTTTCCACCACTGCATCCACAGTCTCATCCGAAAGATCTTCCCCTGTTGTTGGCGAGACGATGACAGTGCCATCTGCCGGTCCTTGCTCCTCTACAACCTTGGCAAGTGTGGCATTTTTCTTCTCCTCATCCACAAGTACAGTGTCAACATCAAAAATGCCCACGACTGGCCTGCAATAATGAGAACAAAGTCAACAACAAATTGATCTAGCGTACAACAAAAAGAATCATGGTAAAGAATATTATATATCTTTTTTTCCACTTAATTTTTTTTATTCTTTATCTTACAATTTTCTGATATATTACATCATTTTATTTCAACCTTTCTGTGTTGAAAATGACCAATGACCTAAGGCTCCAATATGCAAATTTAAGTTTGTTTAGCATCTACGGAGCATTTTTTTCTGTCTGCCTTGAGTGTGCCAATCAAATAACAAGGTAGAGAGCCTTTTCATCTGCCAAGAGGAGAGAGAACTGGATTGAAGTGTTTCCAGGATTTAAGGACACCAAATGTCAGAATGCTTGTGATGTGTCTTGTGGGCACAGCCACCCGGTTTCCCAATTTCAAAAGAAATAAAAACCTTTTCAAATACAACAGCCTGGTACTTTATAATTGTAGAGAAGTTAATTCCCATTGGTCCTCGGAATTCAGAAGCCCCTAAGGTTGTCTTTTACTAAATAGTTTAAAAATGAATAGTTTAAAAAAACCTAAAACTAATTAAAACTAAGATGAAAGATTTTGGCACCTGTGATCTGAAGTTCTCAATTCCGCCCTTGTGTATAGCAGAAGCTTCACTTGAGCTAGGCTCAGATCATTTGTTTCATCTGAAGATTTTGGAGAGTAAAATAAACTTTTTTTATAACATTTGGAGGATTAATTCAATACAGTGAATCCAAAAAATTGAGAATTGAGCAAAGGAATTTGCTGCCATTAGCAGATTTGTGAAAAGGGAAAAAAATAGAAGAAACGCATTTTTTTTAAGGGGGGTGGGGGGGGGGCAGACAGCCTCAGAGCTCAGCAATAAGTATTTCACCATCAATAAACATTTATTTATTGAAAGGCAGTGTCTTAGTCCGTCATTCCAATTAAGACCAAAGAAAAATGTAATTAAAAGTATTACCCACCCACTGATTTCAAGAGTTAATCTCAGCTGAAGAAATTGTAAATAAACAAGATGATCAGTAATCAGGTTTTACCTGAACTTGGTTTTTTAAAGAACTCCACCATTACAACTTAAGCTTAGATCTATTAAATTAAACACTAAGACACGCATAATGTTTTTGTAAATCATCAAGTTTCTTAAGTTTTTTTTTTAAAAAATGAAACCACAATGAAAAAAAAATAAATTCTTAACACTAAGTAACACAAGGTGTCAACTGATTTGGTTAGAGCAAACTTAGAATGAATGGATATTGAGACATCAAGTTTCAATATCCATTCATTCTATCATTCATAAGATTTAAAAAAAAAAAAAGTAAAAAAAAAAAAGATCACCAATTTACTAATCCTTGGTAAAAAAAAATAATTCACTAATATCTAATTCTTCTCAAACTACAAACAAAAAGTAAAACAAGGTGTCAAATGATTTGGTTAGAGCAAAATTAGAATGAATGGATATTGAGACATCAAGTTTCAATATCCATTCATTCTATCATTCATAAGATTTAAAAAAAAAAAAAGTAAAAAAAAAAAGGTTCACCGATTTACTGATCCTTGGTAAAAAAAAATAATTCACTAATATCTAGTTCTTCTCAAACTACTTGGTGATGGACGAACTTGTATTATCTCCAATCCCCTAGCTTTCTTGCACATTTTTCAAATGAAATAATAACATACATTTCCTTACATAAGAGTTTTCAATGATGGCATATTAAAGACTGGCCTCTCACCCTCTGGATCTCTCACTGTCTTTACTGCCCACAGAACTCTGTCCGTCCATGCTGGAGTGCGGCCCTTTTCGCTGGTATCATAGTCATCACTGAAAGTGTCGTACTTGTAGGTAGGTGCAAAGTTCAACTGACCTTCATTAAAGCCCTGGAAACACTGAAAGTCGACAAGAAAGTTATTAGTTACAGCAACGGTTCTCAGCCTGTGGGTGGTGACCCCTTTGGGGGTCCAACGACCCTATCCCAGGGGTCTCCTTAGACCACCGGAAAACACATGTACTCCACAGTTATGAAGTAGCAACGAAAATAATTTTGTGGTTGCGGGTCACCATAAAACATGAGGAACTGTATTAAGGGGTCGCGGCATTAGGAAGGTTGAAAACCACTGAGTTACAGAATAACTATTTTTTTAAAATATTGTAATCTCATTCAGTGTTCACTCAATTGTGCATTTTTAAAACCGGACTGTTTCTTATTGTCCTGTTTCTTATTGCCCTTTTTGAAATTTCATCAGTTGCACTGTTTCCATATTCCACTTTCAGATTAACACTTATATAAGGGATTGAACAGTAGAAATTTACTTTTAAAGTTAAATTTATTTTTTTTTACTAACAATTTCATTGATCTTTGTGTGCACCTTTAATGGAACACATTAAATACTTTATAACATTTTATACATACAAATATATCTGTATATGTCAGGGTCACCAGCGCTATAAACCCCAACAACTAGCCCACCGCTCACATTGTTCACTGCTCTCTGGGTATCTCTAGGGACACCAGCTTTAAAACCCCCAACAACTAGCCTAACCCTCACATTGTTCACTGCTCTCTGGGTATTCAGCTGATCAAGCTCTTGTAAAGCCCTCCAGTTCTCACAAGCAACAAGGCCCTTTACTTCATCGTTGCTCAGATCAATGCGGTAATTGAAATCTCCGCACCAAAACACACAGTCGTGAGATAAAATTGTTCGACCCTGTAGAAGAGATTTCTTCATTTAAAAAAAATTTATTTTTTTGTCTTCATTACATTTACATGGGGCAAATACAGTGGTGACGTGGAATCTGAATTTAATCCGCTCCAGAACCTTGTTCAAATTCAAAGACAATTTTCCCCTTTAAAATAATAGAAACTGGATTAATCCGTTCCTGGGTCCTTTAAACTCAATGGAAGCCAGTGTTTTTCTTAAAGTTCTCAAATCCTCCCTTCTGGCTTTAAACTCCTCCTTTTGAGCACTAGTTTGTATCATTAGTTGTTTGAGATCTGGGACTTTTGGGGACTTTCAGATTTCAAGTATCACTGTATCTAAAAATATTATAAACCTCGCCTAAAAAACACACTTCCAAACCCCAAATTGTAAAAAAAAAATCATCATCACAACTTCCATTACATGTATATGTGGAACTGACGCTAAGAGATATAATCTTAGTATTCTTAGGAGCAGCGTTGCATTTGCAGAATGTGCAACTGCGTCTCCTTTAAAAAGGCTTCTTGTACACAAATAAATAAATTGTTAACAAGAGCAAAAACATTTGGAACAGCATTCCATTTTCAAAATATGCAGTTGTGTTCCTTGTAATAAATTTAATTACTCCTTGCACATGTCACACATCATTTTTTGATTAGGTAATATGAGTAATATGTCATCATTCAGTATTTTTTGTGTAATAGAGTTATGCTGATCAATCCCATCGAAATACTTATTATCCTAATGCATCTAGTTATAGTCTTGTACAGTAGTATCAACAGAATAGTAAGCATCCTTTTAATGTTACTGTAGCATTAAGTAATGGTTAAACTAAAGGGGAGGTAAAGCAAATTACAAAGTTGTTAAAATGGAAAAAAAAATATGACAACCACACACGAAGACTATGATTTTGAAAACCTTAAAAAGTAAAGCACACAAAAACCAAAAAAATGCTTCATGCCATGTGAAACAAATTATAATCAATTACTTAATACCTAACAAAATCATATTAAGGGCAGTTCCATAATTTCGTACAGACAATTGTTTTAAAGTGATAGGATTAAAAGCAATAAAAATACAAGAGTCTAATTTATGAAAGGAACAAAAAAACAAAAATCAAGTAATAATCTAAAAGCTTTTCATTTCTAAGCTGAAATAATGATAGTGAATTCTTTTTTGATGAAATTAGTGTGGTGTGAGTTGGACATTTTGTATACAGAAACTAGAAAGTTACTGCCTAAGTTAAAGGATCTAGTTACAGTTAGTTTGTTTATTAGTTTCAGGATACCAAACAATTAAAAAGAGGGTTCATCCATATTTCTTCCACCAATCCCAGGTCAAACTCTTTTATATTTGAATTATTTGTATGCTTTATTTTTTTATTGTAATAAACAATAAGTGTTTGTCAATGCCCCAACCCTCTAAACCAGGGGGCCTCAAACATTTTAAACAAGGGGCCAGTTAACTATCCTCAAAGACACTGAATATATATCTTATTATCTGAAGTGCAAAACCCCCCCCCCCAAAAAAAAACAAAAAAAAAAAAAAATAAAATATTTAAAACAAAAAAACTAAATATTTCAACAGGAAGAATGGGCCAGCTTTTGGCTATAGAGAGTGCCAGGTACCGGTTTTGAAAAACCCCCCCCCCCAAAAAAAAACAAAAAAAAAAACAATAAAATATTTAAAACAAAGAAACTTAATATTTCAACAGGAAGTATGGGCCAGCTTTTGGCTAATGAGATGGCCAGTGTCCGGTTTTGGTCTATATTCGTTACTGCCAAATGGGTACCAGTACGGTGGCCAAGCTTGCCGGGTTAACCACCACTGGTGGTCTGCATCTGGCCCACAGAATTGAGGACTTCTCTAAACCATAGACACAAATTTTCATAGCCAGAATCTATTTTGCAGAATCTATTATTTGTTTTGGAACCTACATTTTAAATTAGAGAATATGTGTGCATGTTCACTGGGAGATTCATTGCAATTCATTAAAAATTTGGATTATTTTGTGTCAAAACTAAAAAGGTTTAAAACCCAGCTCTAAAAAATATAGAATTAAAATTGTGTTCAGCACAAATAATATGTGTTAGAGGGTTTCTCATAAACCTTAGCATTTAGAGACAAGCAGCAACCAAAACTGTTAGTATTTTCACAAATTTTTGTAATGATCATTTCAGATATATAGGGAAATTATTAGTAGTTGTTGGCAAAACTGATCATTAAAATATGAAACATAGGAAACATAGGAAGGTATTTTAATAGAAGCAATCTAAATTACTTTATTATTTTATTTCCATATTTGAATGTGATGTGTAAAATATGGATGGGAAATGAGACAGAGCTAAGTTTAAAGTAATACAGGGTGTGCTAATCTTTATGTTGTGTTCTTCTACAGTGGTTGGTTTTATAGAAATATTTTATTTTTCATACTACAAGTTGTCCCCCCTTACCTTCCTCGGCAAGTCCACAGACTAAAGATAAACAGCAAAATAAAAGTAAAGAGTTAAGTTTTTATCTGATGGAAAGTTGTGTTTATTTAAAAATACACACTCTGTTATAAAAAATTCCATCAATCTTTGCTACCTTTGGCTTACACGTTCAAATAAGTACCAATGTATTCATGTATCCATAACCAGATACCTTCAACAGATCATAACTATACACAAAGATTAGCATTTTAAAAGTGATCTGAAAGTTACTTCATTATCTGTCATGCTCTTACCAAGCCAGTACAAAAAAATCATGTACTAGATGGAAAAATGTTTGACTGAGTCAATGTGTTTACATACTCCATGAAACATAGCAAGAGAAACATTACAAGTAAACAGGCCTCAAGTTTTCAATACAGTAAATGCCAATTTGTCTGCCAACAAATTAATTAGGGCAGTCTAAGATTTAAAACTTACCTCAAAGAAAAAATTAATCAAAATTATAAGACATTATTTAAGAGGCAGATTTTTTAGACATAATGGGCACAACCAATTATGTCTGCAAATTGCCCACATTCAGGCAGAGAGAGAATGGCCCATGGTATAACATGCAGTTATATAGAATAGAAAACCAAGGATAGCTGTAAGCAAACCATGCTGGAGATCATCCTACATCAACACCTGTAACAATCATTTAGTCATCTGCCCACAGTACAAACCCAATATCGGTTTAAATGTGGTCACCAAATTCCATTAACATTATTAATCATGCATAAAATGATATATTCTTTAACTGTCATCACTACAGCATTAGTCACATTGGAACTAAACTTTGATAATCAAAGTTACAAATTAGTTTGCGGTAACTACTTTAAAGTCTTTTAAAATCAATATATTTTATCAAAGGCATTTCATCGATTTGTCGATTACTTGCCAAATGGATTATGATGTTTAACAGATGAAGCTCACAGTTCTACAAATGACAAAAAGGATCCAAAAATAAGTACACCGTCTTCTAAGACAAGGCAGAACTAAGGATATTTGGCATATTACTTTTTATCAAGCTTAATGATTGCTAGCTAACAATTAAACTAATTGGCTTTCATTTAAGTTTTTAAATCACATTTTTTAAATTAAGACCAACCCATTCCCTCTTTTCTGAAACAAAGTATCTGGTTCTGATTTGAAATGTGGTTGAACAAAAATTGATTTCAATTTTAAAAATAGAATATATTTAATGCAGACATAAAGAACCTACAACAATTTTGTGTATCAATGCAGAATTAAAAGATAAAAGTGTGTAAAATTTGAGACTTAAGAATACAACCCCCCTTGAATTCTGTAATTATTTTTAACTCACAATATAATTTTCCTTTTTTTTTTTTTTTACAAACTAATTTTTACTATGTTGACTCTTATTATTTAAAAAATAAAAAAATTTTTAGGTTAAGTTTTTAAAAGAAAAAATAGCTTTTTATAAATTGGACATTTAAAAAAAAAAAAAAAAAGGAGAAATAAATAATAATTTTGAGAACATCCTAGAAATAAAGGATGATATGTTAACTGTTCCATCTGTCATTTAAATTCAAAAAGAAAAATTGTTAATTTATTCATATTGAAAAATATCCATCCATCAACAATATTGTCACCAAGATACTACTATTACAACATGGATAGTTATCAGATAGATGACAACATAGATTAAGAGCTGTCATTATAAACTGAGTCTGTCAAGTGATTGAAAAAAGGAGACATGCAAACTGGTATACCCACTCTGCATATTTCCTGGAGAAAAAAAAAACAGTGGAGTGTGTGAGATTGTAATAAATTTGCTGCAATGATAATCTCTCCATTACTTTTGGTTTTTGAACAGGCTACTTAGACTGGCTGTGAAAATGAAAATCTTTAAACAAATTTTCAAGATTTGAAAGAGTAAAATAGAGTATAAGTAAAATGCTGCTTAAGAAAACCTTTTTCAGTTTGTTAACTAATTGATTTGTTCAAAGAAATTTTACTTGTCAAAATAACCCACATTAGGAATAGAAAAGTATGCATAAATAGTAATAAATTAGAAGAAAAAATCCCCCAAAATAACTAAAATTATGAGGCATGACACTCATTCTTAAAATGAATCTTAAGTCATTTATGCTTTGAAATAAATAAATGATATTTTCCAGACATTTTGAGTTAAAGAAATGTATCTAATATACAATCTTTATTAGACCTACCATTGGGAATGCCATCTTCCGAGTGATCTCTGTGTAATCAGCATTACGCTCATTGACCTGGGACTGCCCGGCAGCCAAGTGGGCACACACAAAACAAAGTGATGTGCTGTTGAGCAGAAAACGAATGGCTACTCCACCTTTATTTCCAGCAGCTCCGCCTAGACCTGTCTTTACTTTGTCCACAGCAACGTCCCTGTAAGAATTTTATTTTTTTGAAAAACATTTAATTTCTGTGAGAAGACAATAAATAACAATCAACCTGAAAGTTGTAGTTACAAGGATTTTAAAGGAGCCACCAAATTTTTTAAACCATTTTAAGTTACTTTGTATCCAAGATGTAATATTAGTTATCACCATCATGGACTTTAAATTGTTTTAAGTGGCTCACTGAAAGCACAAAAAAATTGTAAAATTAAAAAGATTCACAATTGTGTTGAGACAGCAATGGCTGCAGTATAATAATAATAAGTGGTCTTATATAGCGCGGTACCCCAGCCTAGGGCTGGGCTCACCGCGCTGTACATAAATATAGCAAAGAGGCATAATCATAATATTAAAATAAAATACATAAATGAAATAAAAACAACATATAAGCAAAACAACACCAGAGGTATATTCACCCTACCACACCAGAAATTTTTATAAGGAAACCCATGTACGTTTATCGGTTTATAGGAGGGCAATCAGTCAGGGTAGTATAGTTTAAATAGATGTGTTTTGAGTGCAGTTTTGAAGGCCTGTGTGGTTGTTATATTGCGGATGTGTAGTGGCAAAGAATTCCATTGTTTGGGGGCGCAGAAAGAGAAAGATCGTTCACCATATAATTTAGTGCGTGTCTTGGGAACAGACAGAATACGCGAGTCTGCGGAGGAGCGAAGTTGTCTAAGGGGTGAATAGACAGAAGAAGTTCAGTTAGATAGGAAGGGCAGGAATCCGAGAAAAAGTTGTGACAGAGAAGAGACAGCTTGAAGTCAATGCGTGCCTGTATAGGGAGCCAATGTAGTGAGTGGAGTAGTGGAGTGACGTGATCGCGTCTTTTTGCCTTAAGAACAAGCCTAGCAGCAGAGTTTTGAACTTTCTGCAGTTTTTCTGTGAAATGTTTCGGTGAACTGACAGAAGTGATTTGCAATAGTCAAGACGAGAGAGAACAAGAGCACAGACTAGAGTTTTTGTTGCGCTAAGTGTGAGGTAGTGGCGGATGGAGCTGATCTGACGGATAGCGGTGTATGCCGAACGACAAATGTGAGAGATATGTTTATCGACAGACATGTTGTTAGAAAAAATATAACCAAGATTCCTAGCAGAGGGTGTAAACTGTATGTCGGAGTTACCTACTTGAAATGAGGTGGGAAGAGTTGAGGTAGAGGATGATTTGTGATTGCAAATGAGGAGTGCTTCTGTTTTGTCATCATTAAGCTTCAACTTGCTGAGTGTCATCCAAGAGTTGACATCATCAATGCACCCCCGCAAAGTCTGGACAGCGGAATCGACAAGAGATGGCTGGGTATGCATGTATAGCTGCGTATCATCTGCAAATGACTGGTTCTCAACAGCATGCCTCCCGAGCAAGAGGAGCAGTGGCCTGGTATACATTATGAATAGAACCGGACCCAAAACAGACCCCTGTGGCACTCCGTACACCAAATCAGCACTGCCGGAGAGACAGCCATCGACAGAGACCATTTGCGTTCTATCAGAGAGGTAGGACCTAAACCAAGCCAAAACCGAACCAGAAATTCCAAAGTAGTTTTCAAGGGTTTTGAAAAGGATTTCATGGTCAACAGTGTCAAAGGCCGCACTGAGGTCTAAGAGGATCAGAATGGAGACATTACCGCTGTCCATTGCGCGCAAGAGGTCATTACTGACTCTCAAGAGAGCTGTCTCCGTGCTATGGAAATGTCTATAGGCCGACTGATTAGAACTGAGAAGAGAGTGGTCATTTAAGTAAGCAAAAAGTTGTTTTAGGACTAGTTTTTCAATAACTTTAGATAAAAATGATAAGTTAGATACAGGTCTATAGTTTTTTAAATTATTTTCATCCAGACCGGGCTTCTTAAGCAATGGTTTGATGACAGCTGATTTGCAAAGAGGCGGAACAGTGCCAGAATATAAGCTTTCATTTATTATGCGGGTTATTGTTGGGAGCAAGATATCTAATGACTCAACCAACAGGGGGGTTGGGATGGGATCCAAAGAACATGACGTATCTGCTGGGCCACAAGTTGGCAATCCCTGCTTTTGTGTGGGAGACAAATAATCTAAACAGAGTGCCTGGGCCAACATTTGTGCTTACCTTATGAATGGGGCAAGATGTGGTCGTACAAAAACATACAGCACCACTCCGACCAGTTGAATACTGGTTACTAAAATATATTTGTGATCTCTTGAAATGGTTTTAATGACTTCTTTTTGCCACTCACGGGCATTGGTGGTGCTGGAATATTAAACAAGGGTTAAGCTAGATGGCTCAATCATCAACACAAAATCTATTGCCATCACAATATAAGAAATGAGTGGAGAATTGATTCATTTTTAATCCCTGTCTAAGTCACAAAATCAGTTCAATACTTCTAAAATGATTTTTAACACCTAAATAGATATGGAAAAATTTTACAAATGAAATAAAATTTTCAAGACTTTTTGAATTTGAAAGACAACCCTTAAAAAAATTACAAAGAGCAAAAGGGGGACCATTCCATGGCAAAAATCATGCATATCAGAAGTGATCATTCTTTTTACATTAAGTGCTGACAGATCCTTTTCTGGGGAGGCTGCTTCTGTATGAGCTAAACTTTTGGTTCTGGTCCATTTAACGATTTTTACCATAAATGATCTAGTCTTTACACAAATAGGTGAAAATATTGTTTATTTCTTAATCTAACTGCCAAATGTCAACCAACAAACAACTTCACCCACAGCAAGCAAAGAGACTGGGTGCATGTATCCCTAATATTGCTGCAAACCCCATGCAATATAAAATGGAGCTATCTGTTAAAACTTGAATGTTAAAACTTGAAGACACTACGAAGAGAAAAAAATAACTTTTTTTTTCATGAATGGAATAGGTATTGCTGAAAGTAAAATCCCATCTTAAGTCCAGATAATCTACTGGCATCCTTATAAGTAAGGACATCTTCCACCCTTCAGCCACCTTCAATATCTCACCTAGCACTCATAATGTTGCTTGCATTTAAATCCACAATTTCTTCAAAACCAACAGCAAATATATCTACTGGCTTGTCGTAGTCCACATCTTTCACCAGGATATCTGCCAGAAACATAATTGTAAAAATAAGCTCAGAGAATGGGGTATTAGTGAATGGTTGTTGAAACAATGGCTAGAAAAAATTTAAACTAACTTCTTCAGCCATAAAGATTAAAGGCAATAACTCATTTTTTCAATAAATGTTACTTCTGTGCAGAAACAGAAGTAGATGGGGCAGCGTGTAAGAAGAGAAGGTGCAGAGGATAAAGCGCCAGCATTTTTGTCATTGACTGCTGCATAAGTATTTTTTGTGCCTAAGGAAAAGTCCCATAATAAATGAATGTGAAAGTCAGTTCCAACTTACTCGAGTGGGCTTTGTGGGCATCAATAAGCCAGTCTGCCAGACTCTGATGCTTGTAAGCAATGCTTCGGTAATGTTTACCTCCATTGACATTATAGGTGCCAACACAGACACGGTAGGTCTCTGTTCTGGAATATTCTTTGTAACGCCTAGTCATGGCTTTAAGGATGCTCTCAGATGCTGCAAATGTAATATAGTTAATACATTTTAATCCCACCTGGAAACCACTTAATTATTTTTTAATTTACAAAAAATTTGTTTTTGCTTTTTTTTACACATAATCCACATTAAAGGGTTAAAACTGTATTTTTGCTTGCACTTGTTTAGGCATGTCAGAAATTAATTTCGGTTTTAATTTATGGCAATGAGAATCCATATTCTGATTTATTCAGAGGTTTTCTTCTCTGCATGTGTTATTGGATTAAAAGTATACTTGCGTATCTCAATTTAAGTGTCTACGGAACATTCATTCGCTGAAGCTAGAAAGATTTCTTTACTAGTCCAAATCCACATATTGAATTTTCTTAGCTCCAGTTATCCCAAGTTGCTGACAAGGCTATCAGTCTGCTCACCAGCTGAGCGTTTCCCACTGGAGAGCTCACCAAATATTAGACGTTTGGGAAGTCTGCTGTCTGGGAATCTTGCAGCATGCCCTGCCCAAACTATTACCGAGACTGGTTCTGGCCACATTAATTATTTTCACTTCACAGGTGCTTTCATGTTGCACCAGGCAACCTAACTACCATGGGCGACTACGCTGGTCCTCAACTTATGCCAAATTTAAATCCTATTTAAATCCTATCACTTGTTATAATTACTTTGTGTGATATAGCTGATCATTAATTCACCAATGAGCATCGAAACAAGGTATCATTATCATTAGGTGGAGGCTATCCTTAAATAGTAACTCTCTATCTCAACAAAACATACTACTATACCAATTTACATGGTTGCATGCCATCCCTCCAACCTTTATAAAACAATAATTACAATAAACCTCTACGGTAATGAATAATGTTATATTGACACAATTTGTTAGTGTCTTATTAATGTAATGAATAATGCTGCGAAGTCATCTTACATTTTATGAGTCTCCCTGTGTAGCACAAAAACTCACCATGTAAATACCTTGATCCAAGGAGAGCTCTAGCTCTGTCGGCCAGGGCTCCGTGTAAAGAACTTCCCATGAGAAGGACATCAATGGCCTCTTGCTTGCTGCCATCCAGGAAGTTATTCTGTATCGTTCTGCTGGCTGTGCGAGAGGCATCTGAGTACTGAAAGAGTAGTCAGCTCAATGAAGACATAATATAGAGATGGTGACAGATACATTTTAAATAACATAAAGGTATTCATTATCAGAGAGTAGGCAGCATAAAAATAGTTAAAAGAAAATGATTTAAAGAATTAAATCATTAGCCAAAACAGAGGGTAATTATTTATGCATACATACATATAGGATTGTATAAAATTATTTCTCTCCTCAACAACCAATTCCTTATGGTGAGCAGATTATTTTTTAAATAAAGATTTTAAACTATGACTTACTTTTGATCGCCCCCCTCCTAGAGCACCAGTGCCTGTATATATACGGCTTATGTGATCTCCATTGTGCACCCATATCTGTTTGTAAACCTCTTCAAACCTTCCCACCATCTGAGGTTTAGCTGCCAGCCCTAAAGCCTCAAGCTGTTTCACCAGCATCTGTCAATCAAGTCATCAAATTTTATAAATCTGATGTAAGGCTGGGACAAATATATTGGCTAATTGGTTAGATGTAAAACATAATTGCAATTCATGCAAATTTGTTAAAAGCCTCATTTCAAAGCATAATTAATTAAATCTTGTTAATCACAAGAGATAAGTGATTTTTTTCATAATTAATTTTTTGAGATTTTAGTTTATCCATATAACTTGTTTTCTCCATTTCAGTTTTTTAAATTTTTTAAAATCTAAAAGCAATACTAAATGCAGATTTAACTAATAGGTTGAAATTAATTCATCAATGTTGTGCTAATTTAGATTCCTTTTAAAGAATCTCAGAAAAGATTAGTTTTATTTTAGGGAAAACTGAATAATTTAATTTTAAGGACAAAAATCTATTTCAAGGGCTTAACCATTGCAAATGAGAAACCTGAAGAGCCCAACCTCCATGCCAATCATTGTCTGGGTGGCATTTGTTCTGTCCAGACAGTCCAAACAGTTGGTTCTGATGGTTCCTTTTTGGTGGTGGGTTTCTTTCTGACCATCTGTACAGAAAAAGTCAAAGTGGTGCAAATGTTTTATGATGCGGGCCTTGAGTTTTTCCAGGTTTTTCAAGTTGGAGCCTTTCACCTCAGCATGGTAGTCAAAGTGATAAAATGGCACATCGTGTTGGTGAGAGGACGCTGTATGGTGATTCTGTAGATAATAAGAAAATGCCAGTACAAATACCCATCCAAAATGGCATATGTTTTCATATATTGAATAATATGAGATTTAACTAAACAAAAATCATAATTTAAATTTGTGAAAAATTAAAGGTGGAGCCTTAAAGAATTAAGGATCAACTATATCACACAAAGTAATTATAACAAGAAATGGTATTTAAACTTTCGTGAAAATAATTTATTTGCCATAATAAATTAAACATGTGAGAACTATCATCAACAACAAAAAAATTAAAAAATTATAGATAGAAAGAATAAGTCGATTTTTTTATTATGCAACAATGTCCCAAAATACATGAACATTAAATACAATTTAAATCAACACGGGGTATAATGTACTAAAGAACGTATTAAAAACTCTAAAAATATGTTTTTTTTAACCAATTTTATTTTCATTCAAAACACATTTAAATAACATACCATAAAAGCCTGACTGAGCAATTTTTCTCCTTCCTTATTGCCCAGAAGATTAATGATGATTTGGTCCCCATATTGCTGTCTTATCGTGCGTAGGTGCCTGTCATATGCAGGGGCTGCCATCTCATAACCTCTTGACATGTGAACTTTATGTGAGCCCACCTATGACACAAATTTATGACAATACGTCATACATCATTTACTGCAAATGAATATATCTCACAATCTGTAAGGTGTTACGTTTTTTTTTAATTTTAAAAATTCTAAATTTTTTTATGTCTACTGATTATAATTTTGTTTTTCACCTTATTAATTTTAGATAAATTTGTGGCGAAAACCGAATTTAGTTTATACAAGTAATGGTAAGTGGTTGAAATTTTAATAAAACCAGCTTTTCTTGGAAAAGTTATTAATCAGACTAAGATTTTTTACAAGAACTTTTTATTACAATAATTCATTGGAGGTTACCTGAATTCCAGGCTGCTCCCAAAATAATGGAATGGATCCTCTAGTCTGAACAAATGATGCAATTTCTTCATCTAAAAAGATTACCTGAGTAAAAAATTATAAAGTTACTATCAAACAATGGTTCTGACTTGCTTAAACTAAAAGCCACACATTAACACACACAAAATAGAAATGCTTCTTGTCTCTTTTAAGTAATATTGTTTATCATTAATAAATAGTTCATACAATTCACTTTTCCAAGAATAATATTATTAGGATAATAAAGTTTAGAGTTGAACACATAAAATACAGATTGTACACAATAGAAAATTATTTAGTTTCAGCAAGACCGTGCAATAAATATTGGTACAAATATTATAGTTTCTGTTCATAATTAGCACAAAGTTAGCAAAGGAATACTTGTTCTGTTTCTACAAAGTTGGCCACATTCCCATCATCATTGGTCCCCCTGACATTAAATCGTGTCCCTGCCCTTTCACAGCTTAGCCTTGATATGAGACAGGCTTTGGCTTGGCGATGACCTGCATAAATGGTTCTAATCTCAACTCCACCACACATAGTCTGCAAAGAAATAGGATTTTACTGAAACTTATCTAGCCTTACTTCTGCTTAATTCAAATATATAGCATGGAGTAAGACAAAAAAACTACTGCCCACAAATTGTTATGCAAGCTCATCAAGCAAAATTAATACAAATGAATGATTTATTATAAATATGCAGTCTTTGGTGCTTCTGCAAAGCTCAAACTATAAGAAAATGAACGAAAAATCATCAATGACTCAAAACCAGGGAAAAATTCTATCACCTTTAGGAGCCATTTTGAGCAATCGATTCCATAATGTTGAAAGTGTACATGCAGCATTCGGTTCCTAAACAAAAGAGAAAAAGATCATGCTAAAAATAATGTAAGATAAACAAAACGAGTAACAAAAACTTGATTAAAGCTCATGCCTCAGATAACATCAATATTTGCTAAGAGGAAAAGTAATTAAACCTTTCTTCAATGCGAACTTGACTAGAGGAATTGGGTGAAATAAATATAAAAAACTTACCAAGCAAACCCCAACACCATTAAACTCACCAGAAAAATCGATTGTCTGTTTCATGATCTTGAAGCTTCCGCTGAGCACATAAACTTAAATCCCAAGGATTGCCTCCAACACACCAAGTGAAGTAGAATGTACCTGAACTCAACAGTTTGCGAATCTAGAGAAAAAAGAACTTATTAATAAATATCTAAATAACTTTATGAATTTTAGATAAACTCACGCATAGGAGTTCAACATTATGTAATGCTAACAAAATGAAACAATAACAATTTTAAAAAAAATTATTTGTATTTTATTTAATTTAAAAAGAGATAGAGATATGGACATTTGAGGTTGCAGTAAAAAAATTTCATTGTTCCTATTTCACAAGAAAACTGTCAATAATTTGCTGTGGACTACAATTTATTTGTTGAGTGTCTGGAGTGGCTTGACCCAAAACAAAATCTCAAAGATGTCTTTTTGTGTAAGAAGCCTTCCACTGTAATAAGTAAACTTGCATAATTGATACATTCAGTTCAATATCATATTTAAATGAAGTTTCACCTCTCCTATTCTTTCCTCATCCGCTGGTTCATTGCGAAGTGATATAAACTGGACCCCAGTGATCCTAAAAACTTCAGACTCTCCAATTTTGCCAACTGACAAACAGCTTGTAACCATGACCAGATACTGGACTCTTTCATTGCCTGCAAAAGTTTTAAAAATTAAATAATGAGAGAAATCAATTAAGCTAGGCCAAAAATAAATAAAAAAAGACATTTAAATGGAAAAAATAAATCAATGTGTTCGTAAATCTATTGTTTCTTTAAGACTAAATTTGTACTCACTACACTTCCTTGTTTCATGACTCTGCAACAGTTATTATTTACTAAATTACTTAAATTAATACCATAAAAAATGTAACCAATTACCTGAACTTAAACATAAAGCACCCAGGCATCCATATGCATCAACAACCTTTGTGTACTGCTTACGGAGAGGTTCCAATTCATCTGTGGCTGTGTAAAAAAAATGGTAGAATATAAATTCATTTTAATTGCTGAAATTCTTATCCAACCCACCTCAAATCATCTAAAAGGAGCCCTTGAGCCTTAATCCATTAACAATATTCACATCATGTAATATCCTTTACTTCTTTTCCCAATATTATATCATGGCGATACTTATACCAAATAAATGTAATGAGGGCTCAGAAAATTAAATTAAACACCCATCCTGAGCTCAAACGAATAATACTGGATAGCCCTAAGCACTTAAATTTGCCTAAATAAATCATGAATATTTAATGAAAGAACATATGGCTGATTCTTAGTTTTCACCCCGTGACGTCATTTGCGTGATTTTTATAGTTGCAGTGAATTAGTGTTCAGGTTAGGCATAGGGATCGATTTAGGGATACTTTAGTGACAAAATTAACTGGTTGTGTCAACCAAGATGGCAGCCATCCAGGGACATTTTCTAATAATTTACCGGACATATTTTATATCATCAGTCATCAGTGTCAAATTTAAGTTATTTAATTATTTTAGTTTATTTTTTGTTCACTTGTTTTTGTTTACTGTAATTCTTGCTCACTGAAGAAGGCTTTAACAACGGCAATCCTACGAAGTAAGGCCGGTCCCAAATTATTTCCAATGATTACTCCCTACTTAAAAGTCTTGGGCATCATTCTGTTTTGAAATTCATCTTTGCTTTAGTGGCGGATGTTGGATGGAGGTTGTCAGCCGTCGAGATGCACAAACACTCGAGCGCATTATCACTAATCATGTGTTGCCAGGGACAACTATCGTCATGGACGCTTGGCGAGGATTTAAAAATGTCGCCCACCTCAACAACGGGATTTATGCTCACGCTGTCATTGTGCACACGCGTGAATTTGTTGATCCAGTAGAACAGGACATTCACACATCAATTATTGAAGGACTTTGGATGCAAGCGAAACGTAAAATTCGCTATCAGAGTGGTACTAGTCGCTGTCTGTTTCCCAGCTACTTGGAGCCTTCAGTGGCACAACAGTCAGAAGCAGAACGTTTTCGACTGCTATTTGCAAATGCTATGCGCCATTGACAACATTTGTTATTTACTGACTGGTTTGTAAAGTGACAGTTATTTGCAAAAGCTATGACTGACATTTCTGCAGTTTTCTAACAATACTTGACAATAGACACTGTTTACTGTGCATTGCAATTTTTTTCATACGAAATAATTTGGGACCGGACTTCGGAGGATTGCCCTTAACAACAATTTCCTTTTATTCAAAACTTAGGTCACCCTTCACTTTCACTTGTCAAACACTACACTGTCTAGGCCTAGGGCCTACACATGGTATTTTACCACTTCAGCGTCGGCCAAGAAAAAATCCAGTTGTTCCGGTTTGAAAGGCTATTTAAACAATTATTCTTATTGTTTCACTTCCGTATTTAAAGTTATTTAGCACAATACATTTAAATAATTATTACTACGGTACTAAGTTTCCGATATGACAGGAAGAAAAAGAGGAGAGACTACAATAGTGCCGATGCACGAAGTGTTTGATATTGATCAAATAAGAAACGAAGAAGTATGGCGGCTGTCCACACTACTGCCGAATTTGTCTGACCTTAATTCAACACTACGATGGTGTGTGCGTCGACGACTCTTAAAAAATAGTATGACATGTGCTGTCTGCAATGGGCTGTTTTTGTTTATCCAGATAACGCTGATGTCCACACACAGAATGTGGAAAACATGTGGATGCGCGCGAAGCGCAAACTGAAAAGGCAGTTTGGCACACGCCGCGAACTGTTCCCTTCTTTATCTACATGAATTCATGTTCCGCAACCGTTTTCGAGGACATGATATTTTCAAGAACTTCATTCTCGCCTTGGGGGAGAACTATGCATAATGTCATTTTTACACATTACATTGTTTGATTTCTTCTATTTTAATTTTTTTTTAAAATTAAATTGTTTTACATTTTCTATTTTTTTAAATTGTCTTGTGTTATTTGTTATACTGTATATGTGCAGGAACGAATATGTACAACGTCGTAAAACAAGATAAGAATAATTGTTTAAATAGCCCTTCAAACCGGAACAGCTGGATTTTTTCTTGGCCGACGCTCAAGTGGTAAATTACCCTACACATACACACAGTGTAACCTGTTACACACTACACTGTAGTGACTACAGTCTACAGTGAAACTAAGTGACTGTCGGCTGTCACATACTTAGTAGCACTACTGCTCCAGATTCAAACATTAATGAATCATCCAAAGCTTTACTATCCATCAAAACACTGTAGGGTGTCTCCCTGTCCGGTGGGATCTTGTGAAAAACTCTGTACCCTTTGCCCATTGCCATTTTACGCTAACAGTAACTTAACTTTCCTTTCAAGCCTACGGAAATGAATATCAATAGCAGCTATCAACTGAGGTCACTCTTGTTACCGAGAACTATATTTAATACGAGATCAATTTGGAGATAGCTATTTCTTTTATCGTCATTTGTATTTGTTATTAAAATGAGAAAACGTATTAGTGTGTGTCAACAACAAAATATACAAAGATATACAAATGGCAGGAGTTCAGTTTTATTTATTTATGTAGGTATTTGCACTTAGGACTATGTGTCCGAAAATTTTCGAGATAACACAACCGACAACAGGGATGGGAAAATGATTATTTATTAAGGATCGCCCCAAAGTTTAATTTTTTTTAAAGCTAACTAACAAAATAATAAGAAAAAATAACAGCAACAACAAAAAGCGTCAAAATAATCATAGCTGAAAAATTTAATGTTTATGTATGATATTACGCATGACTTATGACATAGAGTTAGAGTGGTTTTTTAGTTTTTTTGTTTTGTTTTGAAATTACATTTAACTTTTTTTGAAAGATTCCTCCACATTATACTTTATACATATGACCTACCCAAAATTAAAAAGAAAACATCTTATTAGTCTTCTTTTTGTAATGTAATAAACATAACGCAAAATATTAAGTAGATACAAATTAGCTAAATCTATTAATTCAAGATATTTTAACTAACTAATTCTTTTGGATAAGATAGTAGACCCTATACTTATGCTAATTTATCAGATCAGACTGGTTTTCGACTAAAATCTCCCTCACTCACTGGTTCACAATAACTCAAATCCCCATCAATTTATTAGTGATGTAACTTAGTAACAGAAACAAAATAATGCCTTTAAAAACAAACATTAAAATTAATTAGAGATTAATATTTTAATTATTGATTTTGGTAGGTAGATAGCCTGTAGTTAATAATTAGTAATTTGAATAATTACATGACTTTAAATTAATACTAATAGGCTTACCATTCCTTCCAATTATCACATTAATTTTTTAATAAATAGCTTTATCCGCAGTTATTTTTCTTGGATGAAAAAATTTGATTAATTAGCTTTTGTCATGAGACAGTGTTTTCATTATTCATTTAGCATACAAATCGTAGCACACAACTCTTATTTTATTTCGGTGATGGTTAGCTCTTTGATATGGACATATATAAATATTGACAATTATAAACAAAAACAGATGTTTTGCTACGTTTCTTTAATTTCATAAATATAATTTCACTTTTCAAGCTCACCATTTGAAAAATTTCTGTTCCAGCCCTTATTTACGACGACATTTTCTAAAATCAAGGTCTTAACTTATTATAAAGATTAGTTGACGTTAGTTGAATTAATTTGATTTTTAACCAGTGCCTTAAAATTTGATAAATCCCAATACTCCCATTTGCCTTGTCATTTGCTTCTTTAATTCTTTGTGAGAGTTCATTATCAAAATTATTAAATGCTTCTTTAATTAGATTAGCCCAAAAAAGAAACAGAAATGACATATTTGTTCATTTACTCTAGATACTCTAGTCTAGTGTTGAGAATGACATGAGGTTAGCTCATTAACGAAAAGTTGAATCACTCTACTTTTATAAAATTGGGTCACATGTCACCTTATTTCTATTAAATGGGATTGCATGTCAATTTGCTTATATAAATAAATGTGATCGCAGGTCCCTTTGCTTCTTTAAATTGGGGTTGCGACTCAAAAAATATTGAGAACCTGTCATTGTCATCTATTGACTTATAAAACTCAAAATGTGAAGAGTTAAAGAGCGCTTCTGGGCTTTTCAAGTCCCTGTACTGTACCGACCCTAGTAAGTACTATTACTGTATTACTAATACGGAAGGCTTACTGAATTACTATGCACTTTAAATTAAAAAAGAAAAATTGGCTGTTTCTTAATTGTATTACCTATTATCAATATGAAAAATTGCGAGATTTGATATAAATAATAAAAATGACCTAAATATTAAAAACCAGCCGGTGGCTTATTAAAATTAAAATAAAAAAACTAGCTTACAAATACATGCCATTCATTTAGTAACTATTAGTCCTTGATTTCATTTGACATTTTGATGATTGATTGGTGGATTGGTCATAAAAAAATAATATCACTATGTCAGTAGACTAAAACAAGTAACTAAGTAGTTTGAGGATAATAATATGAATTACCAGTATAGTTTTGTTTTTATAGTCTTAATTAAATTAAGTTCAGTTAAAATCTTACTCTTAACACTTAGTCCTAACTCTTAAGTTTAAGCTTAGGACTAAGGACAAAGTTCACTTAGTAGAATTGGATTTGGTTTAGGCTTAGGTGTGTTATGTATAAGTCACAATACTCAATACTAATTATAATTATTAATTACCAGTACCGGTATTATACTATCAATAATCGATACTATTTTGTAGACTAAAGACTAAAGCCTATTCAACATACCGTACTCATACACTACTCACTACTCAACTAAAATAGAAATAATACCCAGAACTATAAGCTAGATGATCTTATCATTAATATCAGGCCTGCACAACTCAGAATATAAGGCGGGCCGTAATAATTTATGAAAAACTTGTGCGGGCCAAAAGAAAATAGGACAGGACTTGTGAGGGCCAAACGAAGATAGGACAGGGGGAAATCCTTAAG